TATGCGACGCAGTTCTGTTTCACTGTTCTTTTTTTTTTATCTTAAGTAAATAATGGCAAGCTAAGTCTTTTTTTTGTTGGCTTAATATTTGGTTAGTTAGTTACCCTGTTAATTCATAGACAAAATTAGAAACTATTACCATTTTTTTTTTTATTTTGTATAACATAATTTGCATTTTGTCTGGTACCAAATATTTTAACATTTCATTAACAGTAATGTACTTAAGCTGTCCAATTTTTAATATGCTCTGTTAATAGAACAAATTACGCTCTGTTAACTTTGCTTCGCGCTTATTACATCGCTGTTATTTAACATTTTAGTGTCTAGTTTTGAATATGCGCTGTTATCAAAGTAGGTTATGCTCTGTTAACTAGGCTTCAAATTTTGTTTACATGCTCTGTTAATAGAGTAGATTATCTAGTAAAGTAAACAATGCTGTCCAGCTTGGTTGCTAGTTTTATTAAGTGCATATTTATTTAGTTAGTAACCCTATTAACTTAGAAACTTAACACTGATTTTATTATTTTTTAAAATGTATTTTCCAAAAAACAAGAGATTTTGTGGTTAGGTGAAATTTTTAATGTTTCTGTTATTTAACATGTCATTAAAAGTATGTACAGGCACTGTTAACAGAGCAGACTACCTAAAGTAGTCGCATATTGGCTATTTAACAGTTCATTAACAGTTTTTCGTACTTCTCATGCTGTTTAGTTTTTAACATGCTCTGTTAGGAGTGTAGTTTATGCTCTGTTAACTGGGTTACCCTGTATTGAAGCGCTGTTCTCCGAAGAGAACGCAATAAATGTTGTGCAATTTCACGAGTTGTTTGTTTCCTGACGTACCCCCCGTTTTCGCACGTGGCTATTGGCGCATTATACGGAATGACATAATGGCTAACGTCCAGGCGCCAGATAAGATTAGATCCCGCAGTTAAATATTATCTTCATTTTAATGGTAAATCAAAATCGCCACAGTCATTGATCTTTAATTTCAACACAAATGAAACACTTTTTTATTTTATTGTTAATTTTTTGTCAAAGACAATCGAAAAAAAAAACAGCAGAAGGGCCCTGAAATGACGCTAATGCAGCATGATTCATTGTGGTGCAATAAGTAGGCCCCATTAGCAACTGTTTTTGTATGTATATAGATTGTTTTTGTTTTTTTTTCTGTCCCACAAGTTCTGGGAAACGCAGCAATGTCGGAAAGTGCCTAGCATTAATGGGACGTCCCCGAGGTGTCAAGGCCTTGGTATGCCGCCCGGAAATATGCCAAAACTCATAACAGAAGCTTAGCTAAAATTGTTTTTAGTAATTGTTTTTCTGTATAGTATAGCTATTAGTATAGTATGTGGTATTATGGGTCGTAAAAATGGGGAGTTCTCTTCTAAGGTTGAGCAATGTTCTGATTGATAGCGAGTTTTTTATGTTCATCAATATTTAACTCTCAATATATTATTAGTTTGTTTTTATTTGGTAGGAAAATGTTTATTTTTGCAACTCAACTGTATATTAATATTATTAATAACCATATTCTTAGTATTTTTATTATACATATTTTGCTTAACTCGTTCATTGCCAAAAAAAAAATATTTAAAAAAATATATAATATTTATTTAATATATATTTTTTTTTCATATTATTTTTTCATTTTCTTATTTTTATGCAATATTTTTATTTTGTTTTATTTAATTAAATATTTAAATTTTTAATATAATATTTTTATTTATTTTTTTTTGTGTAATATTTTTTTTTATTTTGTATGACTATTTTTGTTTATATTTTCTCTATATATAATAATATTTTTAGTTAATTTTTTAATATATATATTTTTTTTTTCATATTTTTATTTCATTTTCTTATTTTTATGCAATATTTTTATTTTGTTTTATTTCATTAAATATTAAAATTTTTTGTTTGTGTAATATTTTTTTAATATTTTTTTTTATGACTATTTTTGTTTATATTTTCTTTTTATATAATAATATTTTTAGTTATTTTTTTTATATATTATTTTAATTTTTCTTTTAAAATTTAATTAATTTATTTTTAATTGCATGTCATATTTTTATTTTATTTTTTAAATATACTATTTTTATTTTATATTAGTTTATGTATTTTTATTTGACTTTTATTATATAAATCATTTTTTAAATAAAATCCGTATTCATAAAATCACATGATAATTTGTAGTATATGCATGAATATTATCATGAATTTGGCAGCTATTAGGCCGTTCAATGTGGGGGCTGTGGGCTGGTCCACGCCCACCACGTGTCTAATGACTCAAGCAGCTGGCGAGCGCCCAGCCGTAGTCTAACATGAACTGTCGCCTGCAGCCTGGCAACAGCCAATACATATGCACATTTGCTATCCGATACGTACAGAGAGAGAGAGAGAAAGAGAGCGAGAGAGGGGGTGGGTAAGAGTGAGAGCGCAGGGCAGACATGCAACAAACTCTTGAGTGTCCGACGCCGCCTGCGTCCTCTGCATGTGCAGCATGTGTTGAAAACTGTGGCACGGCCTCCGATGCCAGCTGTTGAAAACCGTTGCACGGCCGCCACACGAGCAGCTTTGGCTGCTGCTGCTGCTGCGCTGCGGCTGCTGCTGCTGCGGCTGCTGCTGCTGCGGCTGCTGTTGTTGTTGTTGGCGTTGGCATTGCCCTTTGCAAGCGACAACGTTGCAGACATTTTGGGTTTGAGTTTTATTTTGTGTGTGTGTTTTTTTTTTGTTGTTGTTGTATTTTTTGGCTCGCTGCTGTTTCTGTTGGTGTTGGTCGTTGCCAAAAAGGGATGAAGCTTGAATTTATTGCACCGTTGAAAAACGTACGCCCCCCCTCGCAGCAGCAGCAGCATTAGCAGCAGCGGCCGCGGCCTCGGCCTCAGCTGCGTCGACTGCAGCGCAGACAGCGGAAATGCTTGACGCAGGCTGTGCGCTGCTGCTTCAGCTGCTCTTCTTCTTCTTCTTCGGCCGCTGCATTTATTGAAATTTCTTCAACATTTTCGTCGAATTTCGCAGAACTTCTTATTTATGCATTATAAATTAAATTTGATTTTCTGTTGCTGCTGCTTTTGACTATAAATGTTGGCCGACAAAAGAAATCTCGGGTCAATGCACTACGTTAAACAACAACAACAACAACAACAACAACATATAATGGCTGCATTTTATGGAGTGCAGCAGGGGTGATGGGGGGCAGGCCAAAAGATACGCAGCGCTAACAGAGTGTCTGTTACCATACATTGGCTATAAAGTACGGGGCATTGACTGGCAGAACTGTTGGAAAACTTAACATTTTGCCCAATGTAAATGGGATAATTAATAAATGTTAACCATTTTACAATTTTAATTGAACTATTTTGTTAGCAATAATAACAGGCTAGCTGTATAGAAATTGATTGCTTGTCGATAATTTTTATAGCCAGCTCACGTGTATTTACTGTATCTCTTTTATTTACCGCTACAAAGTTCAAACTGTCCTATGCCAATTTACTGCGTCTTGCACTTTGTATCATGTGATCTTTAGTCTTTAGTTATCTGGGGTTTAACCGCGTTGTTGACTAAGGCATCGAATCATGCTAACAAATCACAAATTGAGTCTGTCTCTCAGCATTGCACACACACACACACACACACATACACACACGTATATACGTCACAAAAAACTGTGAAAACACAAATACGGCAAAAACAACTGACCAAATACAAGAAGCAATAACAACAACTGCGATAAGAACCAAAGCAAAGCCAAAACCAGCAGCAACAACAACAACAACAACAGCAACAAGAACAAGAGCAAAAAACAACAATGCAAATTGAACGACCAACGCCGCCGCACGAATTATATTCGTGTGCGTAGATATCATAATAAAAATTTTATTGAGTAAGTTGAGCGCGTTTGTCGCCGCTGACGCTGTCACTGCGCCTCAGTCGACGCTAACGCCAACGCAACAATGGCAATTGCCGAAAATAACATAGCAATCGCCGCAACAACAGCAACCCGCCATTTCGGCTGCAAAAAAATACAAAATACTGCCTGAGCCTCTGTGTGTATGCGTTAGAGGCAGCAGCTGCTGTCTCAAATGCCGGCTTACGCACGCACACTTTTACGTGCGCACAGATACACAGTCATACGTGCATACGCAACGCTTTCATTCTTCAGTTGTCGCTGTCGCTGCTGCTGCTGCTGCTGCCGTCGCTGCCGCCATTCAATACCGACGCTGGCTGCGCAGTCACAGCTGCGCCGCCGCTAGCTGCGCTGCCAGCAGCACGTTGTTCTCGGCAAATTTTGAACGCTGGCCGCCATTTCGTATTTCTCAGCGAGCTGGCGACGCGTCAACACAGCACACGGCAGCGTTTCTGTTCTTGGAAGAACTTTCAATAGTATTAGAAAGCTTTTAACTGTGCATAGCTAAGCAAAAAAAGCTGCTGTTTAAATAATTCAAGAAAACATTAAGAAAATTATAAACGTTATATGATCTCCATTGCCTTATTGTTTAGTGTAAAAGAAGAAAAAAGAAAAATCAACGCAAAAACGAAATCTGACAAATGTTTTTAATAATTTCTTCAACAAAAAAAGTGCAATTCTTAAATCAATTTGTGTTTTTCTATAAACTGTAAATAGTTTGTTTAACAAAAGACTGATAACGAATATATATATATATATTAACATTAAATATAAATTAATAAATGCAAAAGTGTATCAAGAATATTGCTAAAAATATAACCTAGAAAAAAGCTATAAAATAGTATGCGATAGGCAAACATTTACAGCAACAACTGAGCAAAGTATAAAAATCAGAAATACTGAAGTATACGTGTATGTATGTATGTATGCGCATATAGTATATAACCTAGGTCAATATTGTTTATAGTGGCGTGTGAATGTGCGCAACAACAAAGCGCTAATAGCTCAGCAACAACAACAACAACAACAACAACAACAGCAATCATAGTGCTGCGCAGCTACACATACATGCAAATAATCAAAAGCAGCAAAGATAATAAATAACACAAACACACACACACACATAAACAAATACATGCCAACGTTTGATACGGAAATTCGCCGCCGCAGCAACACTACCACCAAAAACAACAACAACCACGAGCGCAAATTAAACTTGAAAATATATACATACATATGTATGTATAAAAGCGCTGGCATTAGACGTTAGCAGCAGAACGAACGCCAAGCAGCACGTCGCTAAAGCTTCAGGCAGCGTCTCACACCCACACACAGACACATACACAGGCATATGCATGTATGTGAATATAATACGTAAATACGGCTCGCAATTATAAAACACAAATCTCTCGCTCTCGCTTACACAACGATTAAGAACAGTCAACTTTTGGCTGCGTCAACTGCGCCGCTCGATTCTTATACAATTTCAATATCAGACCGCAACGATCGCTTCGTTCGCCCAGTCGACGCTGTCGCCTCGCGTAACTTACTTCTGATTCTAACGGACACACACACACACACACACACACACACACTCGAAGCGCATTTGCCAATTTGCCCGAGCGACAAGTGCGAACTCGAATTCGCCAATAGAGAGAGAGAGAGAGAGGGGCGACGCTTACGATTAACGATTTGCGGCGACTCTGTGTTTTTTTTTTTCTGACTCGCCTCGAGTGCGCAACAGCGAAAAAGTTCTACAAAACATTTGCCCCTCGTCGATTCGCGCGACAACAAGTGTTTCTAACAAAATAACAGTACAATCAATCAACATAATATTTGTGACAAAACAATACAAAAACATCGACATATTTAAATATTTAAACAAAATACAATCCCAATACAACACAATTATTTGGAACTGCAATTTGGAATTATTCAGAGCGCCGCAAGGAGTACTTTATTAAGGTTTATTGTGGATTTTGTTTCAATTTTATGGTGAGTTTATAGAAAAATTTAAAATATTTAAAAAAAAATACGTATTTAATATTTAACAAAATTCGTACATGTTATTTTTGTTTCTCATTAAATTGTCTATTATTATTGTTTAATAATTTATTTATAAAAATAAAAAAAGAAAATTAAAACATTTAATCTAAACTTAAACTATTTAAATAAAAATATTGGAACAATCTATAATTTATTTAAAAAAACAAAACTTTATTTTAAATTAAAAAAAAAAAGAAAAAAACATATTTTTTTAGGTTTATAAATCTTTAAAGCTTTTAATAAAAAAAAATAAATTCAACTATTTCCTTACTATTTTTTGAATACTAATATTTTTTCAATATTTGTAGTCAAATAAAAATTAACTACTTTTTTGGTTTGTCATAAAAAAATAATATTTTTAATGTATAATCTTGTTAAAGTAAACGCATCTGCGTATACTTAATAAAAAGCTTATGCTATTTCGAGGTTTTCACAATAATGAACAACTTCTGGAAATACGCTAGATGAAGCTTTTGAGAAATGATTATTACATCAGGCTATAATTACGCATACGCCCCATGACTCGCAGAAAACAAAATCGGTTTCACTCGAATAATGAATTTCGCTAGACCAAAAGACAACCGCAACAACCACCCAACCGCCCACTTAGAGAGTCTAACTCGCCTAGACTCCTGATGACTCAGCCCATAGGCCATAGAACGCACACCTCTTGACTCACCATCATCATCATGCAAGTCCAATGGGGCTTACAAACTTAATGCTAAATGGTTCTTGATAATGATCAATTGTGGGACAATATATCAAGGGGTTTCCTAACATTGTGACTCATTTACTGCAATCGAATGAGTCACTTTCTTCAAGTGTCCAAGGATCGTACGATTCGTATAACGATTCTGATAATGAACAATCTAAAGATTGATAGCACCCGAAATTTATTATCAATAACTTGAGTTAATCGATTAATATCGACAGAGAACTCTGTAACTACAAATTTCGACCAATTTTAAGGAACACAAATTGGATAAAATATTTAAAAAAAAATTAAGAGTTTAAATTAAATGAGTCAATATCAGTTTAAAGATTTTCCCTGTAATAATATCTATCGGAATAACTGTCAATAACCTCAGTTAATCGATTAATGTCGATATATTTATATATATATTTAAAATAACGAGTTTAGAGTTAAATGCGCGAGTTTCTTGAGCATATGAAAATTCTCAAAAATAATTTGCCATTACTCAAAAATTCCCAAGTCTTAAACTTTTGAAATAGCCAGCATTATAATTTGGACTTTCACCTGTGCGATTCATTTGAATTGCCCATCAATCTGGGCAAAGAAATTATCTGGTCTGCTATATGGACTATATAACATTTATTGATAATACTTTTACTTGTGCAATTTCTATTGCGATAAACAAGTCCCGTGCTCAAAAATTCTTCTAATTTTGTGCCTGAAGGTCAGTACCAGCGTCAACAATATATATATTTATAAAAAACAATAACAATAACAAAATAATGGGAGGAACAGCGGCAAGCACATGAAATGCCAAAATAATCTTTGAAATTGATATTGGGGTATTTATGTGCGTTGCACAGGAAATTGTATCGATGCGGCGCGTCTAACTGTTAAGTTATAAAAAAAAAGTAAAAGCAAAAGCATATTTTACAGCTCTGGCATCGGGTAGAACCGTGTGCTTTGTTATCGCTATCGGAACCGATTCGACAGTTGATTTGCGTAGGTGGCGCACGGCTCGCTAAATTCGTGTTGCGGTTTCTCTCTGATAGGTAGCTGCGTTCATTCACGTTCCACCTGTTGTTATCGCTGGCCCGACAACAGTTTGTCTTATCGATGCGGCATTTAAATGTATCTGCTGTTGAGGGGCTTTGCTGTGCGCTTAGCTGCTTTTTATGAATGGGAGCTGTCGTGCTTGAAGTTAAATTTTTCACTTTTTATAGCCCAATTGATTGTGTTCGGCTTGATTATAATCGGCTATCGAACAATAATTATATAGTCAGTTAATGACAGCTTCAAAATATAAAGAAATTCATATTTCAATGCACTTCCTTGTTTGATTTTTTCTTATAAATATGTGAGCATTTGTATTCATATATCTCTGTTATGGTAACAGCTATTGTTACTGTTACTGTACATGGTAATGTTAATGATTATGTTACTGTTACTGATTATGTTATTATTACTGTTACTGCACAGGATACTGTTACATTTATTGTCACTGTTACGATTACAGTGACTGTTAACGGGAATGTTACAGGCACTGTTACTGTCACTGTTAATGTTATTTAAATTAAATTATGTCTATAAAAACATAAGCTCGCCAGAAAAACAACTTTCAAATCAAATCCAAGATCCATTAAAAATGTCGTATATTATTTCACTCAATTTAGGGAATTTCCATTCAAAGCAGAGCACAATTTAAAGATAATTTCATTTAACGTATTTTATCAAAATATCTACGCTACGTACAAAATTGCAATCTTTATAAGCACAATTTGTGCTGTCTTAATCGATTTATATTCTATGTGTTTGTTTTTTATGTACCCCGAGAACCTTTGCACTACCGTAAAATACAATTGACTCTCACTTATGAAGCATTCCTTAGGCACACACACAGTGAAACCCACGATTAACGACTCTGAAGTGCCGCCAATAAACACGTAAACTTTCCACCCAAAAAAAAATTGCGCTAAAAGCGAAGTCTTTTTAACGGTAACAAAAAAAATAGAAGAAAAATAGCATAAAAATTCCGTTTATGGCTTATCAGCAAGCGCTATTTTGTTTCTTAACCAAAAATTTGCTTATCTGCAGAGCTTACAGTTAATTCATAAACTCAAAGAGAAACGTTTTTGTTTTTTTTTTTTGAGGGGGGGTTGCAGTAGGAATTGACAAAATAGGTTTTGTTGTGTTTGCCGACCCTTTGCCTACCCCATTAAATTTCGTATTGCAACACACAAAACACACAAAAAATCAGTTGAGTATCTGACGGATACACACAGCGCAAAAGATGATTCTAATACAAAAAGCCGGTTCGCAGACATGCGTAAAGCTACGTTTGCTTTGTGTATAACTCTGTGTGCGTGTGTGTGTGTGTGTGTGTGTGTGTGTGTGTGTGTATCTGTGTGCTTGCTGCCGAAATTTTATGTGCGTGTGTGTGTGTGTATGTGTCTATATCATATAGCAGCCCGGACAGCCCGTCGCATTTCCTCAAAAACTGCCGACCCGATCCGCCATATTTATTATACCCTATACGAATTGCATATGAATAAAGAAGGGGTATATTGTTATCGTTGCAAATGTATTTAATGAGCAGAAGTCTGACTCTATTAAGAGCCCAGCCAAAGAGACTCACAGCGTATACATATATAATCACCGAGTTTTTGCGTGTTATCGAAATCGATAAATATCGATATTTAGCCGCGCGTTCAAGAGCTCTAGATCTAGATTCTAGAATCTGTTAAGGTTATAAGTATGCGCGTTATCGAAATCGATAAATATCGATATTTATCGAGAGCTCTAGATCAAGATAGGACATCTTAGTGTTTATATAAAGAATACTTACATTTCACATATTGCATGCTGGCAACCCAGCTACAGGGTATCTCCTAGTCTGACCCCTTGTTGTTTTTTTTTATTTTCGTAACATTCACGTTAGTTTGTTTGTTGTTGTTACTGTAAGAATTCTTGAAAGTTCTTTGCCTGTATTTCTGTTTTATCACAATACTATATAAACATATCTGCTTTGACCAAACGGTTTTTTGATATTTTTGGGTTTATTTGTGAAATCATTTTCTATGTAGAAAAAATTGTTGACCTTGGTTAACAATTTGCGCATGTATTGCTTATATAACAAGCCGATATCGCGTTCAGCTTTATATGGCATACATATGCATATGTATATACATACATACGTATGTATGTATGTATGTATGTATGTATGTATGTACATCCATACATATGTTTCTTTCTTTGTTCTAATTGCCAATTCTGACTAAATGAAGTGAGCTGTCCCGTCATTCTATTGGCTTTCTGTTTGATTCATAGTGTTTTTGTGCTCTGTGGTCAGGTTTTTTATTTTATTTTTATTTTTTTGAGAATGTGTTTTTTTATTCTTTTCGCTTAGTAACGGCTCTTAGACATTTTATCATCACTTTCGTGGAAATTTAAAAAATCACTTTTTTGTGCATGGTATTTTTCGCAGATGTAAGTGTGAATATGCTCAGAATGTTGAAAATGACTTTTCATAACAATTCATTGATGGTCTCCAGGGAATTTTATAAACAAATGCATTTTACTTATGTACTTCAACATACATACAAATGTACATTTCCACTGATTAACCTTGACTGTAAAGTATCCTTGTTTTCAATAACAGACCGCCATTTTGCTTTGTTCTCATACAAGCATACATTGTACATAGTTTTAACAGAATTCATCGATACTCGCAGGCACACGCACACGTATACCAACACAGGCCTATAGGCATAACACTTTGAAGCCATATGCATGCAGAAAGCATTGCTGTTGCGCTTTGCTCGGCGTCGCTGCTGGCGTCGCTGCTGCTGCACATTAATAAAGCAAATGGTGGATACAGCTTTTGCATTCGATTGCCTGCCTCTGCCAATACTTGTGTGCGAGTGTGTGTGTGTGTGTGTGTGCAAATGCTGCTGTCCTTCGTTTGGCCAAGCAACAATAACGACCGCAAAAAAAAATGTTTACCAAGTTCAAGGACAGTTGCAGCGGCGTCGTCGCTTTTTGACGCTGGCGTTGGCTGTACGCGTGCATTGCAGAAGCTCTCCGACTCTCACTCTCATATTCGCCCCACACCCTTTCGCACACACACACACACACACACCTACTTGCGCTCCCTCTCTCTCTCCCTCTCTCTGGTGTTGCTTGCGTTTGTTATGCGCATTTAATTTTCAATTTGTTCACTGTACCGAACTTCATTTGAAGGCCGCATCGCAGTCGC